TAATTCCTATTGCTAATCTAGGGAAAGATCCAAGAAATCCCTCCCACTATTGGCCAATTGCTCTTACGAGTTGCGTATGCAAGCTGTTTGAAAAAATGGTAAACAGCCGCCTAGTCTACTTCTTGGAAAAGAATAATATTATATCGCCTCATCAAAGCGGTTTTCGAGAGGGGAGAACAACCGTAGATAACATGCTCCTTTTGGAGACATCTATTCGAAAAGCTTTTGTAAGAAGGAAGACCTTGTGTCGATATTTTTTGACATTGAGAAAGCTTATGATAAGGCATGGAGATACAGTATACTTCGGGATCTTCACGAGAGTGGCTTGCCCGGCAACCTACCAATTTTTATTCAGAATTTCTTGATTACTAGAACATTTGAAGTAATGATTGGCTCTGTTTTGTCAGATGTTTTTCAAACAGAGAAGAGGGTGTGCCTCAAGGCTGTGTGCTCAGTGTAACCTCTTTTCAAGCCTAAAAATAAATTCTGTATTATAACAACTTCCTCCCACCATTTCAGGATCTTTATATGTTGATGATCTGCCAATTAGCTGTCGAGAAGTAGATATGAGACATGTAGAGAGACAGCTCCAGATCGCTTTGAACAGGATCCAGGAATGGGCAATCAAGACAAGGATTTACGTTTTCAAAACAGAAGACTGACTGTGTGCTTTTGTAGAAAGCGAGGTCTCCATCCTGGAGCCTGAATTATACCTTAATGGGTCTGTGATTCCAGTAGAATCTGAAGTAAAATTTTTAGGGGTGATGTTCGATCAAAAATTGACTTTCCTTCCTCATGTCCTAAACTTGAGAAAAAAAGGTACAAAAATTTTAAATATTTTAAAAGTCCTTGCGAACACCTCCTGGGGTGCAGAGCGTTGCTGCATGCTTCGCATTTACAGAGCTCTTGTTCGCTCTAGACTAGACTACGGCTCAGCTCTTTATGCATCCGCTCGGTCTTCAGTGTTGTTAAAACTAGACCCTGTTCATCATCAGGCTCTATGGATTTGTTCTGGAGCCTTCAGGACGTCTCCTGTCCAGAGCCTTTATGTTGACTGTTACGAACCATTACTCCGTTTGAGGCGTGAGGAGTTGCCTCTTTTACAGTATTTTAATATTTTTTCTCAACCTGACCATCCTTATAACTTGTGTATACGTGACAATAGCTGTGACCTTTTATTTGAGGCACGTCCATCCTGTGTGCCTTCTTTTCCTGTCAGAGTTCGTCCCCTCATTGAAGAATTCTCCCTGTCTGATATTTCCCCACAGGCAGTACAGCATTTTGAAATTGCACCTTGGGAAAATGCACAAATCCACCTTCTTGACATTTTCCACAATTACGGAAAAACAACTACAAATGAGAGCATCTACAGACAAATTTTTGCTGAGCACAAGCAGAGTTACAGGAGTTATGTTCCCATTTATACGGATGGATCTAAGTCAGCTTGCCATGTAGGCATGTCATTTATAATTGGTGACCACATGGAAGGCAGACGTTTACACGACGCTTCTTCTATCTTAACCTCCGAACTGACTGCCATATATTATGCGCTTTTGTACATCTCAACGCTACACCATCGAAAATTCATTGTATATACGGAATCCTACAGTGCATTGAAAGCTTTAGAATCCTTTTCTAGCACTGAGAATCCTGTGATAGTGGATGTTCTCAAGTTGAATATTAAATTGACATGTGGTGGATTTGAACTTCTGTACTTCTGGGTCCCCGGACATACAGGAATAAAGGGCAATGAGCTTGCGGACATCGCAGCGAAATCTGCTGTTGAAATATCCGGCCGCCTCATCCCTTTTAAAGATATCCGTTGTGTCATAAAAAAGAAGATCCGAAAGAATTGGCAGCAACTTTGGGACATTGAACTTCATAACAAGTTGAGAAGGGTGAAGCCTAAAATAGAGCATTGGGATACTACTAGCAATCGCAGGGAGGAAGTTCTTTTGACTCGCCTTAGAATTGGTCACAGTAGAGTGACACATAGCTACCTTCTGAAAGCTGAGAACGAGCCTATGTGTACAACTTGTAATGTTTGTCTTTCAGCCTATCACATTTTAATTGAATTCTCAAATTTTAATAGTCTTCGTGAGAAGTATTTTAATAGCTGCGACCTGCCTCTCGACCGTTTAATCGGAAGAGAGGTCAATACCAATTTGTTTCACTACCTCAAGGAAACCGGTTTCTATTATTTAATTTGATTTTTATCCTAGATTTTATGTTGGAATTTTAATTAATCAGATGTTTTAGGATTTTATATCTATACTGCATATCTCATTATCAAAGTCATATTCAGCATTTTCAGCCCATCATTTAAATATCATTTTACTTGCCTCGATTTTAAAAGTGTGCTATTGTCTTTATATATTTTTTTCCTTTTAGTTTATATGTTAAAAAAGAATCATGTGTTTGGCGCATATGGCCTATTGAGCTTTTCGCCATAAATCTACTACCACCACCCGTTACGTTTTTGATTATTTTGTAACTGTGCAAGTGACGTTCACAAAATTCAAAAGAGGATTTCTGAAATTTGAATTTATGACTATTTCTGTGACACTGTATAGGCAATATTTGTTTTGCTCATTGCGTTTTCTTGTGGTGCAGCTAGCACTACCTTTGGCTAACTGTCGGAATTGTTTTCGCCTAATAAACGACACTATCTTAGGCTAACAGTTACGAATCTGAATTCTGGTGAGAAGTATAGATAATGTTTCTTGTTTCTTGTTGCAAAAATAGCTGTAAAATAGCTCCCACTTAAGTAGTGTTCTGTTATCGGGACCGGTTTCAGAAATGTATGAAGGTGTGTATGTAAATATATGCATATATGAGTACATGTATACACACATACAATCGTACTTACATATATACATGCATATATGAATGCATACATGCAGTTCTGAAAACAGAACAGTACCAATATTGTAGACCGTAGTTCCTCCCCATTTGAATTTTGTTGACTGCATCTCGACATTTTCTCCTCAGTCTTCTTTCAAATGGGAGAGAACTTGAGGAATTTTTGTTAATAACACGGCCAGCTAGGAATCCGGATTTCCAATCCTTGTGGGGGCATAGCCTATGTTTCTTATTTCTTTTTCTGAAAGGATTAATAGCTGTACAAAGGTTCCCAACCAAACTATTGTGCACCGCAAGTCATCCCTATTTGAATTCTGTTGACTAATTGTTTTCTCCCCAATTACCCTTTAATTAGGAGAGAATATGAGGAAATTTTGTTGGCAACACGGCCGGCTGGCATTTGGAAAATCTTGAGTTCAAATCCTGGGAAGGGTGTAGCTTAGTTTTCGTGTTTCTTCGACCGAAAAATGTAGCCTAATGACTGTTACATTTTGCCCTTTTCATGAAATTTTATATAATAATTTTATATAATTTGTATAATAATGGTTCATTGAAACTAAAATATGACTTGTTTTCATCTTTCCCTTCGGGCTCACCAGTCGTAGAAAGGTAAAGTCGCTGAACACTGGTAGCTCGGTCCGATATCCGAATCCAGAGAACGGGATTGCGTGGGCGTTTACGTGGTTTTCCCGATGTGTAACGTGCTTACGAGCCAGTTTCATTTAGAAAGTCCTTCACGAAGGCATCCCTCCCCTAGGCAGATAGCCTTCGAGGCTTTGCCGTAATCGCGTCATAGTTCACTGCGTCATACTCACTGCTTTCAATAGTTCACTTCGGTATGCGAGGTGTAATGACTTCGATGTTTTTCAAATTTATGAATTTTGTTTGCTAGAAATTTATAAATTTGGTTCAACTATTGTATTATTTTCGGGATGTGCAGTGGTTTTGGTCCATCTCTTTTTCAAATTTCTGTATTTTATTTTACTAGAAATTCATAAATTTGGTCCAAGTATTGTATTATTTGCGGGATGTGCAGTGGTTTCGATCCATTTCTTTTTCAAATTTCTGTATTTCGTTTTACTAAAAATTTATAAATTTGGTCCAAGTACTGTATTATTTACTGGATGTGAAGCGGTTTCGATCCATTTCTTTTTCAAATTTCTGTATTTCGTTTTACTGGAAATTAAAAAAATTTGGTCCAAGTATTGTATTATTTACGGTTTGTTTTTATGTGCAGTGGTTTCGATCCATTTCTTTTTAAAATTTCTGTATTTTGTTTTACTAGAAATTTATAAATTTGGTCCAAGTATTGTATTATTTACGGGACGTGCAATGGTTCCGATCCATTTCTTTTTCAAATTTCTGAATTTTGTTTTACTAAAAATTTATAAACGTGCACCAAGTTTTGTAATTATTTATCTTTATTCGTTTCGGTTACTATTTTATATATATATATATAAATAAAAAAAAAAAAAAAAAAAAAAAAAAAAAAAAAAAAAAAAAAAAAAAAACATCATTTTATTTTCTTTTGAGCTTCCAGTATGTTTGGCTAATGGAATATTTTAAAATGTTAAAATCACATTATTTCAGCAATTCAGTTTGGATGCAACAATTCAGATTGCTGATATTTCAGTAATTTAATTTTTGAATTTTTAAGGATGGATTTTAGAGAAGTGCTCTGATAATTCCTTAGTCTGAAGATTTACAACCTTGTAGGAGATTGGTCAAATAATGAACATTTTAAATCATTATATTAATATAGGATGCCTTCCGTCTTACTAATCTGCTCGCTTGAGATCTCAGAAACAAGGCAATGGCTACACCTCTCGTGGCATCAAACCCTGAAGATGATTTTGCGTAAAGCGTAACACCATGTTTTGTTTTTTATTCTTTTTTTTTTTTTTTTTATTTTTATTTTTATTTTTCAATTTGTGACCTGCAGTAATTACTTTACTCTGCAGTGTTACTTTTGTTTCGGAACTTTAGTCTAGTTTTAATATACAGTATTTTATTTTTGTTGTTTTGTGAGGAATGTGATTTTAAGAATTGAAGTTTTTACATTTTTTATGTATAATCATGAGAATATCTGAGCTATTAAGATTGTAACAATAAATTTCAAAAGAAGAAAATTGCTTTACCAATTCTGTTATAATCATGGTTATAAATAATCTTTGCAGAAGATCCGTCCGTATATTCCATAAAGCTGTAAATGAATAGTCAGCATGAAAACAGACTGAAACATATTTATTTTTAACAATAAACTTCTTATTTAATAAAACTTTTCCAAAAAATATATACTTTTAAATTAGATTTCCCAGAATGCGGAATTACCTGTGTTTCAGCATAATCTAATGCAAATATACATCCTGATCTTAAAAGTTCATATAAGTCATATATTTTCACAAAATAGTAATAATAGACATATACAGGGTTTATCCGAAAAGCAGCAGGACTGAATTAAAAAAAAGCTATTCACAGTTTTGACATATCGACTTGGTAGTTTTCAAACTGTTCTCCTTCTGCATTAACACACCATTTCCAGTGACTCTGCCAATCTCTGAAGGCTTCCTGGAACACAGAAACTGAAATGCTCTTCAGCTCCCTCGTTACCGGGCTGTAATTCAAGAGGCCGCAATTCGGCCTTTTGAATGGCCTGGACCGAGACTTAATGTCCTCATTCCATGACTCTATTCAGTCGGTAGAAGAGGACGAAGTCTGAAGAAGAGACAGCTCTCTCGTTAACGGGCTGTAATTCAAGAGGCCGCAATTCGGCCTCTTGAATGGCCTGAGCAGAGACTTAATGTGCTCTTTTCATGACTCTTTTCAGTCGGGAGAAGAGAAAGAAGTCTGAAGGAGTGACAGCTCTATACTTACCGGGCTGTAATTGAAGAGGCCGGTAATTCGATCTCTTGAATAGTCTGGACAGAGACTTAATGTGCTCTTTTCATGGATCTTTCCAACGGGAGAAGAGGAAAAATTTTGAAGGAATGACAGCTCTCTCGTTACCGGACTGTAATACAAGAGGCCGCAATTCGGCCTCTTGAATGGCCTGGACAGAAACTTGGTGTCCTCATTTCAAGACTCTTTTCAGTAGGGAGAAGAGAAAGAAGTCTGAAGGAGTGACAGCTCTATACTTACCGGGCTGTAATTGAAAAGGCCGGTAAATCGGTCTCTTGAATAGTCTGGACAGAGACTTAATGTGCTCTTTTCATGGATCTTTCCAACGGGAGAAGAGGAAGAATTTTGAAGGAATGACAGCTCTCTCGTTACCGGACTGTAATACAAGAGGCCGCAATTCGGCCTCTTGAATGGCCTGGACAGAAACTTGGTGTCTTCATTTCATGACTCTTTTCAGTCGGGAGAAGAGAAAGAAGTCTGAAGGAGTGACAGCTCTATACTTACCGGGCTGGAATTGAAGAGGGCGGTAATTCGGTCTCTTAAATGGCCAGGAGCGAGACTTGATGTGCTCTTTTTATGAAACGTTTCAACGGGAGGAGAGGAAGAAGTCTGAAGGAGCGACAGCTGTCTCGTTACCGGGCTGTAATTGAAGAGGTCGGTAATTCGGTCCGTTGAATGGCCTGGACCGAGACTTGGTTTTACTCATTTCATGACTCTTTTCAGTCAAGAGAAGAGGAAGAAGTCTGAAGGAGTGACAACTCCCTCGTTACCGGGCTGTAATTCAAGGGGCTGCACTTCGGCGTCTTGAATGGCCTGGACCGAGACTTGGTGTCCTCATTCCATGAACTTTTCAGTCGGTAAAAGAGGAAGAAATCTGAACGAGTGACAGCTCCTTCGTTACCGGGCTGTAATTCGAGAGGACGGCCATTCGGCCTCTTGAATGGCCCGGACCGAGACTTGGTGTCCTCTTTTCATGACCCTTTTGAGTAGGGAGAGCAAGGAGAAGTCTAAAGGAGTGACATCTTGGCCATAGGGCTTTTTGGGAAAGCTAATGTAATGCCATGTTTGTTCAGGAAGTCCATATCAGCGAAGCCAGTGTGTCTCGGCGCATTTGATGGAGTGGTGGATTTGATGATCCTCACTCTGTGATGGAGTCTCCATGATCCAGCGATTTCTAGATGGACGCAGGCGAGTCGTTTCCGAAGTCTTTGAAGTACAGGTACAGCTCAGATGTTACTCCTTAAGACTTCTTCCTCTTTCTCCAACTGAAAAGGGTTAAAAAAGATTGCACCTCCACGGCTCGATCCAGGCCTAAACTTTTAACTCAAACGCACAGATAGGGTATCAGCTCTAACATGACTTATCTCTCAAGGTGTAAGTTTCTCACTTCTAAGTACGCACAGATAGGGTATCAGCTCTAACATGACTTATCTCTCAAGGTGTAAGATTCTCACTTCTAAGTTCAGTATAAGCCGCGACACAAACTAGTTAGGACTGCTGAAGAAAACTGCTGAATTCAAAGATTATGCTTTTGCCATTTAGCGATAAGAATTGCATATCTACCTGACCTAACTGCTTTTCTACTGCCTATGTTTAATTGCTATTCTCGAACAGTCATTGGAAATGAATTGATTTAATCCTTAGGGTAAAGATTTATTTGAAAAATTCTTCTGTTGACTTTTCGCAAACAGCATTCACTGAAGTACTGCAAGAAACTTGCTCCTATAACTGATACCATTCACTTTTGCCACGAGCAAGAATGTACATGTTTAATTTTAAATGACGATTAAGATTCATTATCCATAAATTAGGCGAAACAGGTTTAAGTCGTCAAATGTGCCCAAACGGCTAATATGCTTTGAAAAATACCACCTTCGATAATTGCTTCTTAGACGCTTGTATGACTGACCAGAATTATTGAAATTCCACAAATTGCCTACATATTCCATGTAAATATTTAATTGCTAATTGGTATGGAATTATACTTGCTATGGAAATTATTATTGCTATGGAAATTATTATTGCTATGGAAATTATTATTGCTATGGAAATTATAATTGCTATGGAAATTATTATTGCTATGGAAATTATAATTGCTATGAAAATTGATTATGCCTTTCGAAAATTGAATTGTTAACATTGCTACGAAAAATTAATGCTTACGACATGAAGAATTTCTCGCCTTCTGGTATTGATGCGAAGTGGCACCATTTCTTTTTTCAATAAACGCAAAAGGGCGAAGAGTGAAGTTCAAAGTTTAAAGTTCGGCCATTCAAGAAACCGTAACGAGGGAGCTGCAGCGCATATTAGTAAGTCTTCAGTGTCTGGCAGAGTAGCTGGAAACACCGTGTTGATGTAGAAGGGGCATATTTTGAAAACTTTGAAAACTATTAAATCGATGCGTCAACATTGTGAATAAGTATAAAAAACAAAATTCAGGATTGGCTTTGTCATTTCTGTCCTTTTCTCTTTGATTGCTTTCTTCAGTTTCATAAGTCGTTGGTGGTAAATATTCTCAGCTGATCGTTTGGATGATTGGAAGCAGATCAAAATATACACCTTTGTAAATCCTACCTAATTAACAGCATGACCTTTTTTGATTCAATTTAGCTTTCGATATGATTTGTGTTGATTCATCATACTTGAATCATCATCTTTTTAGTCCAAAGGGGCTTTGTCCCTGAAGGACTATTGTTTTGCGATTTTGCGTTTGTTCACTATAAATGTCTGTTCCACTTTTCAAACTGTTGCCATCAAATGTTAGAGTCCTGCATTATATTTGAAGAAATTAAATAATGAGAAATCAGCATAAATGTATGTATATTTTTCGCATTGCGATAAAATAACGGTACATGGAGACATCGAATTTTGAATGACGTAATCCTACTGCGAATATGGGCATGTGGAAGCCCAAATTTGAGATTTGGAATTTGTTTTATTATCGATTTCATATTTGTAAAACATTAACGAAGTTTTGATTAACAAACTCAAGGATTTGAAAACGACCAATGGCAACGTTGTACAGAAAAAAAAATTTTTATCTCCAGTGCGTGAGACTCAGGGCGGAAATTTTAAAGTTATGCTCAGTTTAGATATTGCTCTTGAACTGAATTTTATGGTTTAAGTGCGAAGAGCATGACATTTAATAAATAAAGGTAACAGACACAATGTTAAAATATCTGATGTGTTATTGGGTTGAATTAAATCTACTTCGCCGACAGCGCATAAACCACAATAGAATAAATGCATTCTTTAAAATTCACTCTAGTATTTGTTTACCATAGCGACACTCTGGCGCTAGATTCACTTAACAGTATTACTAATTATATAACATTTAACTTATATAATAGTTATATAACGGAAACTAAGTTAACTGTTATATAATCCAATAATTATATAACAGTTAACTTATATATTTCGTTCATATTATAACTCATAATGCACAAAATTTATATCATTTAAAGAATAGAATTATCTAATCGTTGCCACATGTTCTATTCAAATACTATAACAAAGCTAGAATGATGTATAAAAGAAATTAAGCAAACAAATCAAAAAAGAAACAGTTTTTCACAGACGATTGAGTATTTCTCATTTAATTAATTCAGTTCTCACTTCGCCAGAAGGCAAAAATACATAAAAACTCAAAATATCTATATTAAAAATTACGAAGTAAATCTTAAACACTTATTTCCTCGAAAAAATTCCAGAAAGAATTAAGCATGATTTAATTGGCAATAATAAATGAAAGCGTTATCTTTGTTTTTGCGAAGCTAAGTTTCTCTAGATTGGCAACAAATCCACTAGTCTCCTGTTTCAAATGTAAACATCAATGGCCGCCATAAAAAAAAGGCTTAGCGGCACTTAGACAACTTTAAAGTTGTTGATAAGTCTAAAAATATTGCATACCGATTTACTAAAGGCATAAAAACCTTAACCGGAAGATAAAAACAACATAATACAATCATTTTTAAAGCAAAAAATGTACAATTTGCAAACATATAAGAGTAAAGAAACTGAGATGACTGAGCCGGGTAACAGAGTTCATATATATATATATATAATATATTTATATACGTTTGGTGCGGCCGATTGCAACCAAAATACGAGGTGCACATCTAACATTTTATAGCAGTCCTATATACGAAATTTCAAAGTTCTGAGGCTACTCGTTTTTGAGTTATGCGAGATACGTACGTACATACGCTCGTACAGACGCCACGAAAAATTCTCTTCAGAATTAGTTTTAAAGCAGTTTTATAATTTTTTTGCAGGAAACGAGTCTTTTATTCTGTCCTT